TAAAAAACTGTTAAAAAAACTTTACATTTCTCTTATTTAAAATAAGTTCCAGAAACTTTATTCCACCACTTTAGTGAAAAAGTCACTGCATGATCAGAGGACATATAGAATATTGCAAGTCACTGCACCATTTTGTAACTCATGTAAACCATGCAAAAAGATTTCGCGACTCATTCGATTCTCCCCCGCTCCCTCTATTTTTGTTTTTGGAACAAACTTTTCAGAGATGTCCGTCAGCATTGAAATACCGAATAATGAACGACCGTTCGTCCCAGGCGATGTAATCGAGGGAACAGTAAATATAAACGCAGACCAACCTCTCAAAGTACGATGTTACGGTAGCTTTCTCGTCCAATCACAAATCACCTACCGTATTCAGGCCAAATCAGTGCGCATATTCCTCAAAGCTGGAGCCGAAACGGAATGGTGGGTGTCCGTCTATGGAATCGAGTAAGTTTAACAATCTTCTTTGCTTTGTGATAGTCCGTAACTGCACAATCTTTTCCTTTGCAGTTCTGTACATGGCAGAAGTGCGAAAGTATTCTATGCAGCTAATCATACCTATGCGCAAGAGGAAAGCTGCCTATGGGCTCCGGAAGAGAATGAGAAGAAGGGTACGATCCCAGCCGGGTTGCATTCATTTCCGTTTACATTTACATTGCCTGCAGAGTGTCCGCCAAACTTTGAAGGTTAGTTTATGCTTCCGTAAAGATCAGTTGATTGGGTAACTTTTAATTCACTTGCAATGAATTTCACAGCAGTTTCCGAAGAGCTTTGAAGAGAAAGTGCTCTTTTTTAACCGGTGTCTGGGGATGCCCGTATATCGGCGGTGTGTTGACACCGTTGAACCACCGTGCCAACGGGGCCAGGACCGTGTCAGAAACGTGGACGCTTCTCGTATAATGGCTCGCAGCTAGCACGCACTGGCACGGCACTGGCACGGAGCATTCCGGACGCCGCCTAATGGGAGGGAGGAGATAGGGCTTTATTTAGGTAAATAGATGGATATGAACTGTACCAAATCATCTTATTGTGGTACTTTGCCGGTATTGTGCGTAATTTCGTTAATGCTAAGGCCTTATCTTTTTTGTGTTCACACTTTTGTCAAGCTAAGAACTAAATTAAACAAGTGAGATTCACCCCTTCCCTCATGAAGTTTTTACAATCAGTCCTGGAGTTTACAGGTAGTTGCGGCTCCATAACATACACAATAACAGCAGAAGTGGAACGTCCATGGAAAGTGAACAAAACGGCGTCTGTCAATCTATCAGGTATGTCATGGCCACCGTAATCTTGTTGTGGTTGGCTCTCTCACGACAACAAATGGAAATTATACGAAAAGTTAAAGAAAGAGAAAAATGGTGGCATAGACATTTCACCATATCTGAATTTTAAGTCTCGTAGAAGCTAGAGATGGTGTAACGGACGGTTCTGTGAGATTTTTGATTGTAATTCTGGGCGAGGATGGGTTATGCGCATAGCGGCCGCGATTCAACAGTTGATAGAGCGCATCCGGTGATCAATCACCAGGTGATTAGACTACACTCGTTGCTTAAGATAAAAATGTAATCAAGTAGAGAGATCTCGACAACTCCATACTATCACTTTTCACAGATCTTGTTATTAGACGTTGATCTAAATCTTATGCAACTCCCAAGTTCCTATAAAACTTGATGCTCATATATTGTTAGTCTTCTGTGCCACACAGGTTTGATAAGTGGTCTTTATTCCA